CATGGCGGTCACCGACACGCTCCGTTACAGATGAACGACGTGCGAGCGGAGCCTCGCGGGGGGCGGTGGAAACAATGTACTCCCCTCCCCCCCGTCCTCCTCCGCAGGGCCCTTGCTGGACATTCATAATAATAATTTACACTTGGAAAAGGGGCAAATTTCATCCGTAGATCCCATTGGGCCACCGTGTATGGAAAGCTTGACATGAACAGAACCTGCAAGGTGAAATGGCCAGAACTTGGGGGTAAAGGGTAATTCCTTCCGTGGCCGTCTGGAACGCTCTTCCTTCTGATATGACGAAGTCACTTGGAGCTATGCACTTTTTGAAATCTAAATTGAAAAATCATTTCTTGAAAACTGCTTCTTGTGTTTAGTTTGTTGTCCTTCCTCGGCACCTCCGATTAGCACGGTTGGCTACGTACGGTGCGAAAAAAGTTCAACACACGTACAGATGCGGTGACCGTGCTTGTCACTGTATGGTGCCGGGGCTTGCGAAGCCACGGACGGTGATGTGTTGTCATTACGGGCAGCCCGGGTTACGTGCTGCAGCACCGACCCTAGCGGGGTTTGGGTGAGCGCTGGTCAGCGCGGAGGCATCGCGAGCGCTGTGCGGTGCGGGCTCCCGGCGAGGGAGCCAGAGGGAGCGTCAGCCAGCCAGGGTTACCTTGGGGCATGACACTCTGGTTGACCTGCTGACACGTCACCGGACGATACTGGAGAGGGGTCACCGGTGGACGGGGGGGCCGCGGGGCGGTCACGTGGTCAAAAGGAGCTCTCGGGAACCTTCGAGAAGGCGCTCGAGAGGCCTGGAAGGTGGGCGGGGCCGAGGGCGGAGCCAGCCCCAGCCCGGGAGCTTATAATGAGGGCCCTGTGAGGAGCTCGCGGTTCTTCGTGTGCCAGTGTTACGAAGATCCACGTCGGGGAGAATAAGCCTCTAGCCACGCGGTCCGGAACCCAGCTTGTGGTCCGGGTCGGGATAGCGAACCGTGTCTAGTTCAGCCGTAGCGTGGCTAGATGGGCATCCGAGACCCGAGAGTAGATCCTGTTGTGTTACGTGTTAATGTGTAATAAATAGTGTTGCTCCCAAGATAACGTCTGCGACTCAGTTGGACTCACTACACATACAAGGTGGTGAAGGAGGGTGCATATTTCCCAAATGAAGACATGTATTTTCCATCTGTCATCATGTATTTCACATTGATGCACATTTACATGCTTTCCTGTCTTGCACGCACTATTCCATCTGGCCAGACGTACGGTGCGGAAGAAGTTGAACATACGTACATACATAACATTGAAGATGTGCAAATTGTATCCATTTGGTTTTTGAACATCCTAACACCTGTTGCGTTGCCAGAAAGGGTAAAAACCTCTTCTTATTTTTCATACATTGAAGAAGTGAGTTGTGGAGACGAACTTAAATAGCTCCAACGACTCCCGACTGCCCAAAGGCGAAAAAGCGTTCCACAGTCTGGGGGCTGCTGCACCGCGGCAAGAAGCCCCCATCACCACCCCCGGGGAGTAACGACCGCACCAAGGAGAAGCCGCCCCGGAATCTGCCTTCTCCGATGCGGTGATGGGAGGTGAATGCGTGGGGGGGGGGGGCAAACCTCGTGGCGGTTTCAGAGGGCACGCTCCGTGATGAGCCACAGCCGCTCGGGGACACAGACTCCGCCGTGTCGGGGTCAGTAATGTCACACGTGGGCGCACACGCGCGTGTGTGTGTGCGCGTGTGCGCGTGTGTGTGTGTGTGCGTGTGTGCGTGTGTGCGTGTGTGTGTGCTGCGGTGCCTCAAATATTGGATGAAGTCACCCCCTGTGAGTGGCTGGCTGAGGTGCCATCTGCTGAGGAAGTATTGAAGGCGATCCGGAGTCTGAGACCAGGAAAGGCAGCGGGCAGAGATGATCTCCCAAGCGAAATGCTGAGGGAGGGTGGCGTTTGTGCACAGACTGCCCTATATGACATCATAACAACAGTCTGGACCACTGGACGGGTTCCGCAGGATTGGAAGGATGCCCTGGTGGTCCCCCTTTTTAAGAAGGGGGACCGCACAGACTGTAACAACTACAGGGGCATCTCACTCCTCAGTGTGCCGGGAAAGGTCCTGGCAAGGATTATTCAGCATCGCCTTGCCAGGCACGCTGAGGAGAGGCTTGCGGAGCCCCAATGCGGTTTCAGGAAAGGGCGGTCCTGCACAGATGCCATATTTTCTGTCCGTCTGCTACAGCAGAGGTGTAGGGAATTCCAACAAGACCTACATCTCTGCTTTATTGACCTGGTCAAGGCCTATGATACCATCAGTAGGCCTGGGCTCTGGGTCGTTCTTCGTGCTTTTGGAGTACCTGACCCTCTGCTCACGATCATTAAGGACCTTCATGATGGTGAGCGGGCCCGGGTAAAACTACGTGGCCGGGAGTCAGAGCCATTCCCTGTACACCTTGGGGTGCGACAGGGATGTCCTCTGGCTCCCACATTATTTAACATCTATTTTGACCACGTAGTTCGTGAAGCCTTCAATAGCTGTACCGGGGGAATCTCCATATGGTACAGATATAATGGGAGGCTAATCGATGCCCGGGTGCGGTCAAGGGATGGCTCCCTATTGCTCAACCACGTTATGTATGCTGATGACTTGGTAATAGCTGCTCAGTCAGAGGAGGAGTTGGAGACGCTGCTGCTGAGACTGGAGCGTGCCACTAAGAGGTGGGGCCTTACCATCAGCCCCACCAAAACTAAGCACCTGCCTGGGTATTTTGTACCATCGGACACTCCACCCCCACAACTCCCAATCGGTGATGGGGCAGTTGTGGAGAGAGTGGAGAGTTTCCCATACCTGGGCAGTGTGCTTATGACTGGCTCCAGTTTAACAGCAGAGGTCTCACTCCGAATCAGTCGAGCGGCAATATCTTTTCATCGGTTGCGTAACGCTGTGTGGAAGCTACCTGGTCTGTCGCTCCGCACTAAGCTTCAGGTCTTCTCGGCCACGGTCATTCCCTCCCTTCTCTACGCTTGCGAAACGTGGACCCCCCAAATGGAACATCTTCGCCGGTTAGAAACATTTAGGCTGACCTGCCTACGATCCATCCTGGGTTTAACCAAACTGGATTGTGTGAGGAGCTCACACATCCTTGAAAGATCTGAGCAGGGTCCCATCGGTGAGCTCCTCCGGCAGGCAAGGCTGCGATGGCTGGGTCATGTAGCCCGCATGCCCAGCCACCGCATGCCGAAACAGCTTTTGTTTGGCCGGATTGAGGGGGCTAAGCGGGCGCGGCACGGGCTAGAGAAGAGATGGAGTGATGTGGTACAGGAGGACGTGGAGCTGAGTGGACTTGCCGATGACTGGTACCAGCGGTGTCAAGATCGGCCTCTGTGGAGGAGGCTCGTGAAGGATGCTACTGGGCAGTTGGAGGCAGTCGCCCTCCAACAACAACGGAGGGCGGAGGAGCGACGCTCACAACAGCGAGCGGAGCGCCGGGTGGCTAAAGCACAGCAGGTTGGCACAGTAGGGGACACAGGTGGTGCATCAGCCAGTCATCTCAGTCAGTCGACCCGTGGCACCTGGGTCTGCCCCGTGACCTCCTGCCAGCGGGCGTTCGACACTTCACGTGGCCTCAGGGTGCACATAGCCTGGCACAAGCGTCGTGGTGACGTCACCGCCACTTAGTGGCGAATGGCGGTTGTTGTTGTTGTTGTTGTGTGCGTGTGTGCGTGTGCGCGTGTGCGTGTGTGCGTGTGTGTGCGTGTGTGTGTGTGCGTGTGCGTGTGTGCGTGTGTGCATGTGTGCGTGTGCGTGTGGGCCGTTGGGGAGCGGTGGAGGAGCGGCCGGCGCTACGCTGCGCTACGAACCCGGTGACGCGAGTTCCATTCCCCCTCACGGTCAACACCGGTGACGATTATCTGAACCGGTCCTGGGCCTCACCTCGGTCGACTCAGCCTCAAATGAGTCACCTGGTGCGATGTGTAAAGATCGCCACTGGGGAGACAAAGGCGGCCGGGCGTGGTGTTTGCCACCCACCCCCTCGTGTGCCGTGCCGGCCTTCATAGGTGCTACTCGCTAAAAGCTCTTGCCCCTACAGTCTGTTAAGGCTACGCATGGGGGGGGGGTCACCTGTGTATGTCGAGGATATATTTTTAAACGTTCCGGATGCCGGGCACCGAGTCGCGGATCGTGAATGTAACACAGCCCCCCCCCCCCACCCCATGTCACACCGGGGGGAGGGGGGTGGACGAGAATGCCAGGGTCCAAATTTAAACTCGGGCTGTAAATTGTCACTGACGTTCTCTCTAGGGGGAGTTGAGATAATGAACTTATCTGCGATGCCCTCGTGTCGTTATATGCAAGGAGAGCTCCGTCCCAACACACACCACACATTTAACATCTGCAATGTTTCACACGTGGATCTTTTGTTTCGATGATTGCTGTTTCACTGGACTCACTTTAACTTTCATCTTTGAGTATTCCCCTCCTTGTATCTGGAAACAGGTGAGGATCTCTACCCAGGTGAGGATCTCTACCCAGGTGAGGATCTCTACCCAGGTAACTCTCCCAGGTGAGCATCTCTACCCAGGTGAGGATCTCTACCCAGGTGAGGATCTCTACCCAGGTGAGGATCTCTACCCAGGTAACTCTCCCAGGTGAGCATCTCTATCCAGGTGAACATCTCACCCCAGGTGATTGTCTCTACCCAGGTGATTGTCTCTACCCAGGTGACTCTCCCAGGTGAGGGTGTCTGCCCAGGTGACTCTCCCAGGTGAGGGTGTCTGCCCAGGTGACTCTCCCAGGTGAAGGTGTCTGCCCAGGTGACTCTACCAGGTGAGAGTCTCTGCCCAGGTGAGTCTCCCAGGTGAGGGTCTCTACCCAGGTGAGTCTCCCAGGTGAGAGTCTCTGCCCAGGTGAGTCTCCCATGTGAGGGTCTCTACCCAGGTGAGTCTCCCAGGTGAGAGTCTCTGCCCAGGTGACTCTCCCAGGTGAAGGTGTCTGCCCAGGTGAGTCTCTCTACCTGCCAGGGCCTTGATGCGCGACCGCTCGAAGAGGCGAGCGGGGTTGTTCTCGTCCTCGGGGTCCTCCTCCTCGGGGAAGTCCCAGCGGCTGTTGACGTACTCATACTGCTGCTGGATCTCCTCGCTGTCAAAGTCGAACTCCGACATGGCGCCGCTCGCCGCAGCACTCGCCCCACCTGCGGCAGGGGACAGCCACGCGCAGAGCGGCGCATGAGCGGTGGACAAGGCTCTGAACCACAGTAACCTCGCTGCTAGGATCTCGTCAAGGAGCACAAACCATCACCACGCGAACTCCGATCACCCTTGCAGTAGCAGCGGCAGCAGCGGCGGCTTTTGGCTCAACCATCGGACAAAGAGCGCATCGCGCGCTTTCGGATGCGCTTCCGCGGCCGTCTGGAACGCTCTTCCTTCCGGTATAAGGCAGCCACTGGAGCTATGCACTTTTAAACAATCTATATTGAAAAGTCATTTCTTTAGAACTGATATTTGTGTTTAGGTTGTTGTCCTTCCCCACACCTCCAATGAGCATGGTTGGCTACGTATGGTGCGAAGGAAGTTCGTAATTTTAACATGTAGTAGGCTTTCGCCACCAATATCATCTATAAGATGTTTTTTGGGTTAGATCGCGTAAATATAAATGTGTCGTTAAACCCGCCACCACCCGACACAGCCAATTAGTTACTAGTTCAGCACACCGGTGTGTTGGAGAGTAAACCCACTACAACGTTTACAATTCGAGTACCGTGACGTTCCGCCCGTTATTACAACAACCAGCCTCATCAGGCGACAGCCAGAGTTGTGCCGGTAATAAATAAAATAAATATATATTTAGGACCGAAACAGGAGGATTTCTCCACAACAAGTTCGACAGCCATACAAACGTGACCTGGGTCACGATGGCCGCCAGCCGCCGTGCCGCCACCGCCGCCGCCACGGAAACGTCCCAGGTGCGCAGCGGCGATCTCGGAGTTATGGGCAAGGAAAGAGCTCACGGCTCGTAAGCTGGGACAGACAAACTCCCCTCCGTGCCGCTCAGTGGCCGCTCCAGCCCCCGCCTCCAATGGCGGAGCCAGGATTTTCAGGTAGGGAAGTCGTGTGCTGTATACGCAACTGCGCACAGTTCTGTAAGTCGCTGATAACCGCTTTGCCGTTACTTATTGCCTATTATGGACTCAGACTATTGTCCTATCATCTCATAGAGTCCCTGGCATGTAATAATATGCTACACAGTCGCAGTGGGGGTCGCAAAATGCCAAATGATTACTAATAAACCCCAACGATCCGATGTAAATTAGGGATTTCGATCGGATCATTGGGGGGGGGGGCACGTGCCAGCCCACCCCCCCCCCCACTGGCTCCACCAGTGTCCACCTCCCAACCCCCTGCCCCCCACCCCCCAACCCTCCCCTCTCCGTTGGTCGCGAATGCAGACAGCGGTCGGTGCCCACAACTCCCTGGGCACGCAGCTGCTGCTGCTGCTGCTGCAAGTGGCGTGTGCAGCGATATTACAATTCATTGTTCCCACCCGAGCCACAGTCGGGATGCTTTGGCTCGGAGTGCCGCGGACATCGAGCAGGCTCGAAAGCGTGTGCCGTGGAGTGAAGAGGGCTGTACCGTGCTAATAGGGCGTGCGGCGGGGGAAGGACAACAAACTAAACACAAACAGCAGTTTAAAATAAATTAGAATGAATCTTGATTTGAAAGTGCATAGCTCCAGTAGCTTCCGAATATCGGAAGAGCGTTCCCGATGGCCGCAGAAGCGCATCCGAAAGCGCGCGATGCGGTGAACCATCTTTGTTCAATGGCTAGCCAAAAGCCGCTGTTGCGAGGATGATGACCGGAGCTCACGTGATGGTTTATGTTCATTGACGAGATCAGCAAAGTGTTGTGGTTTATTTGTGGCAAAGCACTTCGTGTGTAACGAGTGGGTCAGAAAGCAGTGACATTGACGATCTGAGAGCAATGCCCCCTATCTAGGTGCATTTTAAAATTCACAAACCAGGCCCAGCAACATATCACGATGGGAACAGTAGTTACACTCCCGCGTTGCCAGACACAGGTACACACTTGTTCGCATAACCGCATTTGCGTCACCAATCAAATCGATCACTCGTCCACTGTTACGGGGTCTTAACGAATTTGTCGGACTTTTAAGTATAAGCGGGATCACCATTGTGCTGCGGAGGGCCCTCTTAAAACAAAGCCTAGCCCATGGAAAAGAATGGTAAGCAACTCCCCCCTGCCCCCGTTAGAGCCACAACAAGAGTGAGCGATAGGCCCTGAATACAGCGCAGTCGCTGAGAACAAGTTTTACATTTGTGGTGAACAACGTGGCACATGGAGGGGCAATAGAGAGGAGGAAGCTATTTTGACTATTATTATATTGTTTAATTGTACCAGGTAAGGCCCACTGAGCAGAAGTGACCTGGCTTTCACAAATGGCAGCTCAACGAAGTGGCTTATCCTGCGAAAATGCATAGCAGCCAGATACTCGAAACGCACGCTGAGGACCCGGAGACAAATCCACGCGACCACAGGGAGAGAGAGAGAGACGCAATCCCCAAATACACAGCAGCAGGCATCAGGGTCGGGATCGAACCCACGACCTCCTGTGTATCAGGCGATGTAGTTGACATCTCCTAGCCACCGTGGCGCCCCAGAAGAGGCAGGGGCCTCTGCGAGAGAGAGGTGTCCGTGTAAACACGTGGGACGGCAGCGGGGAGGGCGCGAGGGCAGGGGAGCCTCACTGACAGACGAGAATGAGTGGGTGGTGCCAGTGGCTTGCTGCAGGCGAGAGGGGCCCGGATGGCCCATGAGAGGCAGGAGCCCACGTGTGTGAGACACGGCAGGGAGGGAGGGAGGCGAGGAAAGGGGGCTGTGCTGTGACCCACGGAAGGTCAGCGAGGGTGGCAGAGCAACACACGGGGAAGGAGGTACGGGGCACCCGGGCGGCCTGGGACAATTTGGAGGCTGCAAATAAAAACATTTATCCTGAGCACATTGCGGAGCCTCTTGTGGTCTCAGACACACACGAAAAAATCAAATCCTATTTCACGGTGATGAATGATCATTGCGGCGATGCTACTCTTAACCTCTCAATTCGCGTGACTCCAGAGGGGCCGTTAACGGCGGTGGCTTCTGTGCCGGCTGGGCTCAACAGGGTCTATGCCCCCTGTGACCTCTGCAACGGGTTCTCCATCGTGACATCTCAGCAAGGGCCAAGGGTCCCAAATCTCCCGACAGCTTCACCGCCACGCGGCTTCAAGGCCGCGGAGCAATGGCGAGGCAAAGCTTCCTGCACCAGGTCCATCGGCAGCCCCCGGTCGCCTTTGCTGTGTTCCCTCTCCACGCCGCGACCGACGTAAACATGCTCGTGCTGGCAGGGTGGCAGCGCTGCTGTAAAACTCGCGCCTCACGGCAAGAAGGCCTTGAGTTTTATTCCTGACCCCGGCGCCTATCGATGTGGAGGTCATAAGATCTCTCCCCGATCCTGCATGGGTTCCTCTAGCTTCCATGGTTACTTTCCATACATACAGGGTGCTTACATTTTGTTTACCACTTAAATGGGACTATCGTTTTACAATGGAAAAAAAACGGATAATACACTGTAACATGAAAACAAATGTAATGTTAATAGCTTCAAAAAGTCAAAGAGTCTCCACTTGTTCGCCATCGTTGTCAACGCACGTGGCCTGGAATCTTCTCCAGGTGCTCTCCAGAGCCCGGAGGCAGCAGCACATGTCACGTGGTATTGTTGCAAAATCTCAGAAGTGTTAAAACATTTTTTGAAGCACCCTGTATATCAAAAAAATCACACGTACAATTGCAACTGGTATTGCCCAGCATATCCCAATTGCTGACAAAAAATAATATCTGCAAAATTACTCAAATGGGATTACACATAGCAAATGATATGACATCAGTGAGTTTAGCGTTTTGCTCTTACTGCATTCGCTAAACAGAATTGTGATAACATTTCTGGCTTAAAGTGTTTGTGTATTTCAGCACGTATTGTCGTATTTAAAGTCATCACAAATGTACGGATCACGGTGCAGTAATCTGTGCTGCAGTTTAAAGTTTCTGCGGCCTAAGCACAAAGAGGAGGTCGAGGCGAGTGGGGGCGCGCGCATTTCAACGCAGGCGGAGAGGCAATCGAAGCCATGATGCCGTTCTTTCAAGCTCACATTCCCATGTATGTACGGTATGTTGAACTTCTTTCGCGTTCATACGTAGCCAAGCGTACTAATCAGAGGTGCGGGGAAAAGACAACAAACTACGCACAAAAATCAGCTCTAAACAAATTAGCTTTCAACCTGGATGTAAAAGTGCATAGGTCCCAATGGCTTCCTAATATCGGAAAGGAGAGCGTTCCAGACGGCCGCAGAAGCGCATCCGAAAGCGTGCGATGCGGTGACCATCTTTGACCGATGGCGAGCCAAAAGCCGCTGCCGTGAGGCCGACCGGAGCTCGCGTGATGATGGTTCATTCGGACCTTGCGGTACCCCGTCACGACACGCGCTAAATGACGATGTGTAATCATGTTCCCGCCGCGTCAATCGGTCACCGTAACACGACCTGCACCGCCGCTCACGCCATCGCCGTTGGCAGGAAGCGAGCAGGCGGTCAACCCGCGCGACTTGTCATCGGGCACGGTCACAGCGCGAGTCATCCGCCAACGATCGGTTATTGATCCCCGCAGCAGAGGCAAGCAGGGGTCTCCCCTGCAGTCCACGGGTCCCCCCCCCCCACCCCGTCACTGTTGGCCAACGCAGTGGCCATTCCGCACATGCCCCTAGCCTCCAGTGGCAGCTGCCGTGCCAAGCCGCTGATGATGTCAGTGGTCTCCACGGAGTAGGGGTAGAACAGAATAAACCGGCTTCAATGCATGCGGTGGTGGGTGGTGGTGGGTGTGACAGCTGTTCCAAGTTGCCCTTTAAGAAGAAAAAAAACAGGCAGTGCTTAATTATTACCAACCCCCGACTTTACTTGTACGCGTGCCCAAACGGAGGGATGTACAAATAAATATATGCCAATGGAGTGAATCGCACGAACAGCGTTAATGCCTCGTGGCCGAGACACGGGCGTTGTGGCGTTGTGCACGGCGAACCTTGCATCTGCAATTTTAGTTTTGTTGAGATAACGACTTCAACGGAGTTTCCAGACGAGTCTGCGCCCC